TTCTTTTTAACCTTTATCTTTATGCTATCTTACATTCTCCTTTTCAGGCTGCAGTAGACACACAGTGAAAGAGAAAGGTGGGGTTTTTTTTGTTGTGAGCGCTATTAGACACCATTACAAGAATGGTGATGAAAACATTTGTTGTAAAACTGAATACTCTCATAGGGATCCTATGTTGGTATTATTATGAGTAAGGCTGCTTCATAAGAACGTCCTTGAGTCGTTGTATGTGGATCTCCTTTGATGTCCACGTGGGTGAGCTGATGCATGAAAGCAACATAAGGCAATGAAAGCAGAGAGTAGAAAAGTGGTTTGAGTTTCACGGGAGTTAGTATGACTGCTAAGTAGCATAAACTCCAGATAAAACCCACCAATGCTAGTGTAAGTCTTTACAGATTTGTATATGTTTTAATCCTAAATTATTAACTTCTTGTGCCACTGACAGGTTCCTCTTTCATCAGCTAGGTACTTATTTCCCAACACAAATAAGGAGTGACTCCCCCAAAAGCTACTGCTTTAAAGCTTACTGAAAATCCAAAGATATTTAGGTCACCTATAGTATAATGCTGGAGAACACGCTTCAAAGAGTAGCTAGATCCTGAGCTGAACCCAGCTGAACCCACCCCTACTCGTACTGTGCTCTGCCAGATGCTCCTTCTCGGTGCTCACTATAACCACGACCTACAGCGACTGCTCCCTGTCCTGCAGCGACTGCTCCCTCTCCTTGAGCAGCGTTGCAGCTTGTCCATGTGCTGGTGCATTTAGTTTTGAACAACTAATTGGCTTCCACCGTGATACTGAGAATGCTGCGGTATTATAAATTCTAGTCCTAATATTAAATTGCTACACATTTATTTTCTGTGCAATAGCTGTGCATAGCTGAATGTTTCTATTTGAGATGCTTTGGTCCTTTCCAGTGATTTAAAACCGCTGCAAAGTAGCAGATTTTCAGTAGTTAGGGTGCTTCTGTTTTTTGTGTGTGCTATATGAATTGTCAGTAAGGAGGCGGTACAGTTTTCTGATCCTCTTCATTTGTGACTGCTTAGGTTGGGGAAAGGCCTGGAGGAGAACAGGGAACATTTTTGTTCTCGTGCTTGCTTGTGGAAGCTTGCTTTATGGCAGGATTAATGACTTAGGATGAAATTCACCCCTCTGCAGCGGTGTAATGTAAGCTGCTCTTTGAATCCCACTTAAGACCTATTTTGAGGGCATAAGTGGTACAAAGGCATTATGCAAGTCCCTCACCGTGGGGATATACTTCAGCCTCTCAGAAAAGATTTTGGAGATACGAACTTCTTACTACTGTTTGTGTTACTTCTTACTACTGTTTGTGTTTCTGGTGAAGAGCAGAGAAATACTATAACTTTCCTCTGGGTATTATGTCACTTACTCTGTTCCTTTTTTCTCAGCGTTTCCAGGAGACTCGATGGGGTGCATTTTTAATCTTGTGACATTAAGCACATTTTTATTCCCTCTGCTATTGCAACTCTTGTAGATTTGACTGCTTCTTTATATTTGCCTTCTCTCACTCTCCTGCTGGCTGGTTTACACTTCTACAAACAAAGGCAGAAGAGAGGCTAATGAAAAAAAATGTCACTGGGGTAACTTTTTCTTTGTTCTGAACAAAGGCTCAGAGTAGGAGCAATGCAAGTTGTTTTTTGCGAGCTTTTCATATGTAAATTGTATTGACTGTTGTCTGTTGACTTCTTCAGTTGCATTTTCTTCCTATCCGAGGCGCCAAAGATCACATGAGTATAGCAGCTATCAAACACCAAGCAGAGCAGAAAGAAGTGTGCCTCGTTTTGGCTATCATTTTCTACAAGACAGTTGAAAAATGATAAATGAAAGAGGGTTTTTTATTAGAAGAAACATCTTTTAACCAATGTGCTGGGGGGAAGAGAGGGGAAAGGAAGTGTCTTTACGAGCAGAGGAAATTTTCTGGGATCTAAGAAGATGCTTGAACTGCCAGCTTTATAAAGGGCTATGCGTTTCCTAATAAACCATAGACTGAGAAAAGAGCAATTCTCATTTAATAGGCACGTATTTTCTGTGTAACTCTGTTTGTCGTTGGGCTTTTCCCTATCCCTTGCTGGCGTATGCAGAACAAGCTGTGCGTGCGCGAGTGAATCACTCCTAGGACAACATTAGCCCAGCTGATGTGGCAACCAATGGGCGTGCCAAAAACCCTGGAATTTGCAGCCCGGCCGAGGAGCGAATCCCCTCCCACTACGGTTTCTAATATTGGACTCCTGACTTTATCATCAGGAACCGGAGCCAGGTTATTCTTCCACAGTTAACTAACAGTCAAATGCCACAAGCGTCGTCTTTATGGCTAATAGTTGTATTTTAGATGGTCAGTGATCTCTTCTTGTATTAATGGGTGCTCATAGCGCTGACTGAAAGCTTTGTAATCCTTTCAACACTTCAAAAAAACAAAACATAGTGAAATATCATGTCCTGTATTAGAAAAGGTGAATATACTCTGCATGAAAATAAATTAGGATAGCTCAATTCCAAACACTCAGCAGGGAAAGATCAATAGCCAGACTAAAATATCTATTTTAAAATGTTGTTCTGTATAATTTCTTTCTGTGTAATGTCAAGTGGTACCAGCTAAGCATATTTGTCACTTTACTTGCTTAATAATCTCTGTGAACATGAGTTAGTGCTTTGGAGACATAGCCACAGGCATTCTTTTGCCATTACTTTTCATGGAGTGCTTAAATACAAACTTTTGGGGGGAGGGGGAACAGGAGAGGGGAGAGTGAATGAGGTCGGTAACCAAAATCCCCGTTAAACAAATTGCTTTGATGCCAAACAACATTTATTGTTATCTGAGGCCAGCTGCCTGCCTTCTTTCCAGGGTTCTATTTGTGAATTTGCGAGGTCTATAAATGGCAACACTAGCTAACCAGAAATTGTCACCGGCGCTGCCTGATAGTTCTGTCTCACGACTTGAAAAGTACAGTGATATCTAACATGTAGTCAGATTAAATCACTTCTGCGCAGGACTTGAGGGATTTTTTTTTCCCCTGGGAGATGGAGTTGGGAAAACATGAAAGAAAAGTCTCAGGAAAAGAAGGCCTAGAAGAAAAGCAAACGGTAAGATATGCTGGGAAATGCTGGACTTCTATTTTTAATTTTATGATAAGAAGCAAGAGCAAATCAGCTGTTGCACCTTATAGGAATATTTCCATGCTTCCTTTTACCAGTGACCTTGAAGATTAACACTTCATTCATATGTGTTAAATTAATTATGATGACATCTTTTAGTGGAAATTGTGGAATTTTGTTAATGAATTTTGCATACACATGAAATGCAAAACTAAGATCCAGTTCAACTGCATTTTTTTTAATCATAACCCTCATCTATAGCTAATAGTCTGTATTTTCCTTGGATTATTTTGAGAGAATGTTTCGAGTCCTTGCACCTTATTTTCCATAATCTGAAATCAGTAAATGGCAGCTTACTCTCGGAAATGTTTTTCACAGTGTCTGGAACTCACTGAAA